AAGGTTCTGAAAATACCTCTGCCAAACTTGCATACTTGGTAATTTATAAATTATAAATATTTACTTATAATAAAATTAATACTTAACTAACTGACACTTTTTTGCGTAGGTGAATACAATAAAAAAAGTGGAGCGTAGACTCATTAAAGTTCATGCTTTTGTTGCAGAGGTTCGAGAGACATTAAGGGTTGCTTTAGAAAACGTTGATCGAAATTACCGCAGAATATGCTCATTGGTTTGAAAAGTACGGTCGACGATGGTTGAATTGTTTGCTAAAAGGTACAAACTTGGTGTTTAGTTGCAACAACAGAGCATGCACATTATTCCGAAAATATAAAATGTTCTGCTTAATCGGGAGAAAATTAAGCACAAGTGGGCAGTCTCAAGCTATGGTAACAACCAATATGTAGTGACTCACACATCTCGAACAGATCCTTCTTCTATTTATAGTTACTTGGTCAACTTGTTTAGTAGTATATGCACTTGTGGGCAGTGGAATTCCGATCCTATACTTTGTTGTTCATGTTCATGCTGTTTACCACTCTTTTCGACAACAAGTTCCTCACAACATATTGCTGGCAAGGTACTCGGTTCAAAGCTATTTGAGTTGTTATAGTGGTATAATTCAATCTAATCTTTTCCCTCAAAATTTAGATGTTGGCAGCTTTAAAATTCTACCTCCAAAACGACCAACATACGAGATTCCACGTTCAGAGAGACGTCAACACAATCGATATCAGGGCGAGATGGATTTCAAGGGTAAAATGTAAATTATTATTACCCCCAATCAGAACGGTACATCAATGTCAAATGCTGAACCATAGAAATGGTCCGTGCATGTAATGAATACAAAAACAATACAACAGCAATACAACAGTACAACCACTTGGCACGCAGGCCATACAAATAACCAGTCAAAACAAACATCAAGGTGGTCAAACACAACAACTAGTAAACCCCATCCGGGCTCTTGTGGACATTCCAATACCCCGCATCACCAGGCAGTAGTATGGTAGGCCAAACCAGAGCATGGAGGGAGTATATGTTGGTGGCATCACAAGCCAAGCACATATACTCCCTCTCCAAGGACTCAATCTCACGAACACGCGATCCATCAACAACATCCAAGGCACTTCAAAGATCATTCCAATGTGTGTCATCCATCAAATCCATCCAAGGCAGGTGCTCAGTTATTTTTGCCATAGATTCAGCCAGTAAGCCAAGGGGCCCATCCCCGAATGCCAGAAGTTGTCCACCATCGTCACGAAGGGAAAAGTCCAAAGTGACCCCACTATGCCATACAGACCCCTCCCCTAGGTCTACGGCCAGAGTGCCCCCCAGGTATATGGAAAGCATCCCCCAACAGACGAAGTAGAAGTTCACTAGTAGTCTCATAAGCCTTCATCTAGTATTGCCCTCGGTTGAGTTTAAAAACAACACGTAGATAGGCAAGACCCAGCGAAAACAACCTCCTCAACTCAAGAAAAAGCCCAGTTAGCTAGAAGATCCACTTCATAGCTAAGATAGCCCAAAGTCTTCCAAAAACCCCAACCGACAGGGTCAGGAGAACCTAAGGGCGGCCTGCCAGGAGGACCAAACTGGCAAAAGTAAACATCAGACCCATCTCAAAATGAATTGGGATTCCACCAGAAATGAGGCCAATCCAAGTGTAAAAACAGCCATGGTTCCACACTCCTAGAGCGAGAAACACATGGGCAAAATTCACACTCAACATCACATGAATTATAGCTCACCAATAGCCCAGAACAACCAAAAAACCAGTGCCCAACCATGCTGTGATCCAGCCCAATGAAATCAGGCCAAAAACACCCAAGAATTATCAAAATCCAGCTGGTTTGAGGACTTACTGCCCAAATTCTGTTTATGGGCAGCATGGCCTGCTTCCATTCCACAAGTAAAGCCACAAACAACAATCAAATAAAAAACAGTTACCCATCAGGAAATTCACTCCAACAGCCATCAAGCAGCAGCACCGTGACCACAACTGACATAGTAGGAGTGCCCAAACAACCCTGAAGTCATCCACTAGCATTTTCCCACTGTTTGGTGCAAAATGCAGTACCAAAAATAGTGGACAGCTGAGCAATACCATCTGTGAATCACCCAGCCACTGTCCAGCATCCAAAAACAAGACCCAACCATTGTTTCAAGCAAAGGACGGAAGTGCCAAGTGACCAAGTTGCCCACAAGGACCAACTCGCAGTGGACAGCTGAAATGCCATCTTTAGTCCCATGTTCAAACACAAACAGCTTGAGGAAATGCCATCCCAAAAGTCCTTCCCCAAACTTCACATCAAAAACACCCAAACACATAGCACACACAAGCAAAATCCACCCCAAGAAGAATTTGCAGGAACAACGACAAATTCAAGTTAAGGCAATCCAAGAGAGTAATGTCAATCATTGAGATAACTATGCAAGTCCACACACAAACACGTATTCAAAGAGAACCGCACAAACTGGACCCAAAAACCAGTGACAATCGCACACCATCATCGCAGAATGAACAGTGAAATTCGAATTTCAAAGTTCCAAAAATCCAATGAAAAGCAAACGATTGTGGAAGCCACCAATATACCTCAAAAATGGATTAAAAATCGCCCAGGATTTCAGAAGGATAGCCATCAAAAGTGCTTCAATCGCCATGAATCAAACGACAAAAATCGCGAGTGCACAGTAATTTCGTAGGCGTTGACCTTCGTTTCCTCAAAATTCAGCTCAAAAATCAGCAAACCAAGCTCTAATACGGAATCACCAGCTGAAGGCGATCCTAGAGTTCCAAAAATCTGAAGCTAAGACCTCAAATCCATGGAGTAATCGTCGATTCCCCCTCGCGGCTACTGTTCATCGCGCGGCTAGAGAGAGAAAGACGTCCGACTCCATTTCATTGAGAGCTCTTGAGAGCTCTTTCGGATTTCAAGGCAAGGAGATGATTGTAGTTTGATATTATTTTGTTTGTATCAGTCAATGTATTGTAATTGTTGTTTACTTGAGATGTTGAGAATGTAATTTTTTGTTGATGTTTTTAATATATTTATGTTTTCAAAATAGCTTAATATTCGTTTTAAACTAGGTTTCTCAAAATTATTTAGATTTTTTTGTTTAAAATTGGATTTTTCCAATCCCTTTTGTAAATGATTTATTTTTCTTTTTCTTAAATGAACATTTCTTTATTAAATTTCCAGTGCTTTAGATTTTGTTTTAACAATTAAATACTATATAGGAAAAGCCTTTTTTAAAAAAAATTAAAACCAATTTTTTTTATTTCGGATTATTAAAATCGTCTTTATAAAAGCCAATTTTTTTATTTTTGGATTATTAAAATCGGCTTTATGAAAGCCGATTTTTTTTAAAATAAAATAATTAAAATCGGCTTTAGGAAAGCTGATTTTCCACCTCAGGAAACATTTGGTCAGATTATTCCCTCCACGGGAATTAATTTCGTGAATATTAACAGTGTCATAATCTCCCAAGTGGGCTGCGAGAGCACATCGCCAAATTTTGAGTGGTTGGGGTACGGCTCCCAAATTTTTTTTCAAACATAATTAGACGCATAAAAAAAATAAATTTAATCTTAAACATTCAAATAATTCAAACAACATAAATAAATGGTACTACCTCCGTCCCGCTATATTCGTCCACTTTTGACTTTTGGAACTGTTCATCTAAGCACTTTGACTCATCAAATTCTCTTAATGTGTAAGCTTAAATATAGTCATGTGTGATCTTGTTTGATTTGTCTTAACATATAGATTATTAATGTATAATTTTTATATTTTTTTAATATATAAATTACAAAATAAAATGGATTAAAGAAGTGCATTGGATGGTGTGCAAAAATGAAAGTGGACAAATATAGTGGGACGGAGGGAGTACTACATATGATTTCAAATTGTAAAGATGATTTAAAAGAGGAAAATGGGATCAAATACCAAAGCTAATATCCATTGCAGTCGTAAGTGATGGTGTAATCCACCCAGACCATGATCTAGGTCGGGCCCATCCAAAACCACCCAGAAAAGGTCTAGGTACTATACAAAAGAGTTGTTTGAGTTAATTTATACCTTACCAAGGTGGGTTTCAACCAAGACCACCCGAGCAAAGTCTAGGTACCATGCAACAGGGTTGTTTGTATGGATCTGTACCTTACCCGGGTGTGTTTCAACCAAGACCACCTGGGCAAAGTCCAAGTACCATGCAACAGGGTTGTTTGGGTGGATCTGTACATTATCCAGGTGGGTTTCAACCAAGACCACTTGGGTGGTTATAGGGCACCGGTCAACTAGCATGACACTACATGGGGATCCTCGAGTGATCAGACGTTCCTTCAAGAAACTATCTGGGCAAGTTTGCGGGACTCGTATTGGGTGGCGAGTTTGGGTGTACATGTGTCAGCAAGAATAGTCCAAGCATGGTTAGACGATAGCGACTGAAGATCGTAGAGAATATTCAGATATTCTCCTCCAAGCACTACGCGCCAAGAGAGGTGTCCTTAGCACAAGCCGACAAATGAGTGGGACAAATGCTACGTGACAAGAGAAGTCACCTCGCACCATCCTGGAACGTAGGACGACGTGGGCATTCTTTGTCTTGTCCCCTAGGCTCTACTATAAATAGCATTGTAACCCTCAATAGAAAGGATACAAACTTTATCTCTCTAGAGCATATTGTGTAATACTACCCCGTACTATTCTACATACTTAATAACAATTGAACTACATGTGTTTCCACCTAGAGTCCCCCCTATAAACTTTTGTTTTCTGTGCCACTTTAGTTTCTAAACTCAGCAAACCATCATAGACCCAATCTAGAGTAGGTTTTCGGTGTAACGCCCCATAAACCGGTCTAGAAGTTAATCAATAATTAAATAAATAAGAATTATTTATTTACGACAATCTAACCTTTTAAAGAATTAAAAGATACTTTAGGAATTCTAATTCTAATTGTAAAGATGTAAAGTAAAAGACTGATCGGTACTAATTAATCGAAAGAATTAAGACGGACCAGGTGGGACTGGTAAATGCTTGTTCAGTAATTATAAAAGTTATATCGTTGGGTAGGGATTGACGAATCGAACCCAACGGCGCAATCGCCGCCAACCCCTTTTGCTTCTCCTGTTCTTTGATCAGCAACCAGAACCAGACCAACGCCCTTCTCCTCCTATCCGACTCAACGACGAGGCAGAGAGAAGGAATTTGAGTGAAGCAACGATGAACCAGTGGACCCCTTCCGGCGACGAGCTTAGGTAGACACGATGTGGGACGTGGATGAGCGAATCCGGCAATCTCTAAGAGCAGTGGAACCAGCGGCGAGAGTTGAGCCAGCAAAATCTGGCGTGGTCAGCATCGGGGAGAAGGGAAACGGGCGACCTTCACCTTCGCCGGAGATCTTTCGATCGGACACAGGGGCGCTTTTGACAAGCTCCACCAGCAATGAAGATAGCAGCAGCGAGAAGAGCGGGCGAACGACCTCCATCTTTTCCGGCGAAACAGCGGGGAGTCCGGCGAAGAATCCGGTGGCGTGCCTCTGCTCCGGTGAAAATAGCAGCGACGGCGTCTGGGCAGCGACTCCGGCAATGTTTCGAGCAGAAACTAGCTGATTTGGACAGTGGCTCCGACCTTGGTGACCTCTAGGAGCAACGACGATCACCCACTGACACCCCGACAGGTTCGGGCAGCTGGTTGGGTCTGGGCAGCAGCAAGCTTGACTTCGGGCAGCCAACGGGATTACTCCGACGATGAAATCAGAACGATGTTCTTTTGAATTGAATCAACGAATCGAGGTGAGTACGTGGACATCTAACACTAGAAGATGCATCTAGGTTTGAAATTCCATTCATGATTGTTATCGTGGTTGATCTATGTGATTTATCTGTGTAATTGTTGATTGTGGTTTCGGGAATGGTTATCGTTGAATCAAAAGGGTAGTATGCATGATTTAGGTGTTGATTGATGAATTAATGTGCTTGATAATGTTAAGGATGGTAATATGAACCTATTGGTGTTTGTTTTGAGATTTCTATTGGTTCGAAGCATAAAACGAAACAGGTATGAAAATGGATTTTGGTTTCGTCAAACGGTAGGCGGTACCGCCTGGACGGTACCGTGCTACCATCACACTCTGTATGCTTACGTTCTCTCTGCCGGTAGCTGTGACCATTCGGTACCTAGGTACCGGACGGACGGTAGGCCCTACCGCCCAGTCGGTAGTCGGCTACCGTGACAGTCCTACGGAAGAGCCTAGATGGTTCGGACGGTACCCTCGGTACCGTAGGACCGGTACCCAGGTACCGTAAGGACAGTACCCCGTACCGTGACATGTACCGTCTAGTACCTCTTGCCAGGTCTGTCGATCTGTGTTTCCGTCAAGGATTGATTCCGAGACTCCGTGTGTTGCATGACTGTAAATATGGGTGTTTACACCTAGTGTTAGGCCGCTATTTGATTATGTTGGATATCTCGTTAAATGCATTGTGGATTTATGAATGAGGTATTATGAATTGATTAATGAATGTTGGATATATCACCTAAAAGAACTCTAGGAAATGACCTGAATGGATTAGTGGCAGGTATGCCATAAATATAGTAGTTAGAGCCATGTGGTACCTGTTGGGTCCAATGGCTGTTCGGGTAAAAACGTGTACACGGGGATCTAAGAACTGTCGTTCCGAAGGGGACAGGGATCTCACCCACCCAACGAGGAACTCCCGAGTTGGCTTGAGCGTGACCTTCGTTCCGAAGGGGAAGGTCATGACTCCATAGGCAAGTCGAATTCAGTTAAGCTTTAACCTAGCATAGGTTAAGAGCCAAGTACGATAAAGAAAGTAAAGTAAACTAAAGAGGAAAGTTCCTAATACTTATTCCGTTATTGTTTGTATCTTATGAACGGTTATGAAGTTGATTATGCATGTTATACCTTGTATGCCGTATGATTGTTGCCAAGCATGTTGTGTGCATGATATCATGTGATAATTGTGAATTAGTGGATTCGCCTATGTGTATGTTCGAACTCTTAGATATTTCTCACTTAGCTTCAATGCTGAGCGTGTAGCCCTTTTTCCTATTTGCTATATGTAGGTGGTTGTGGAAGATTGATTCTGGAATCCATCCCGGAGAGCAGCATGACAAAGGAGATGTACGGATGCAGGGATTTAATGTTCGATTTAATTATAAGGCTTCCGCACTATTTGTATAAACTCCGATATGTATTTTAATTATTTTTAATTGTTTGAGTTTTAAATTAAATGTTTTAATTTATTGGAAAATAGTGTATGTGAATACCAATTTAGTAGCAACCCGGTTCGCTAACCTATTTATTCGGGTTACGCGGGTTGGGGTGTTACATCCGGGGTGGTAATTTACACCATCATTTTTTGCACCACCCGTGGGACAAGTTTGACTTCTTTTTTATTCTCACCCACGAAACACCAGTTACGAAACTTGTCGACCAGTCAGCAAAACACCACTTCTTCCATCCGATTGTAAGCCACCACTGAAGGGGCGACCATGATGATGGTCACCTCCCAACCCACTCTCCTTGCTTGGATGATTCCGTTGGGCCTTAGTCATGTCACGACTCTGACCAATACCACACCTTTTACGATCCTAGTACCATCCGTCGGGCCACGAGAAACGCTCCTACCAAGCATGCTCAGTTCATGAATGATCTGACCAACATGCAAGCCATTCAAGGCTTGGGCCAAGTGATGGCCATGTGCCAACAAGCCGGAGGAATGCCTTTCCTTCCGGGCATGTTCCGATTTGCGCTACTAGGCGTGGGACCATTAATGTTGCATGCTCCCGTGGCTCCAAGTCCTTTCAAAATGTCAGTGTCACAACCATCACCCTTCCAACCACAGGTGGTCAGCACGGTTCCCCCGGTCAATCTCACGGGTACCATGAATGCTGCTGAACCATCGCGCCATCTGAAGAGTACCCCGGATGGCCATTGCATATCGATCGAGAGCGGGCACTACAAGAATTTGTCTGGTTTGCAATGGATATCTTCTACGGACCAATTTCCGTAGCAGATCTGCAACAATCAGCGACGGAATAATAATTCTTGAAAAAGACGCAATATCTGCGACGGATGTCATATTTCCGTCGCCGATTTGAGATGGAATATTGCCCCCTGTCGCAAATTCAAATTGGTCAAATTTTGACCTGATTATCTGCGACGGAATTTTAATTCCGTCGCAGATCTGTCGCAGAGAATTACTAAAAATCGAGATTGGTTTTTTTCCCAGCCATTCGTCCGTCATTCTACCCTAATCCCAATTCTCTCTCCTGTCCTTCGAACGCCAGCCCTCCGCCACCCGTCGACGCCCGTCCTTGCCGCCGAGGCACGTCCTCGCCAGCCCCGCCGTCGTCTCAGCCACGCCGTTCGCCCAGCCACGCCAGGGATGTAGAGGGAGTGCCTCGAGGAAATAGAGGGAGTGCCTGTGGATGTAGTGGCTGTGCTCGATCCCTGTCGAGAAGAGGGTCTCCATCTACCAATGACGGACCTCTTCAAACGTGTCAACACCTCTCTATCAGTCTTCGTGGGGGGAGGGGGGTTCTCATTATCGCTCATCTATACAGAAATAAAAATATTGTGTAGTTAGCTCATGAAACAAAATAAATTTCATATACCAAATAATTGGGTGTGAATCCAAACCGCAAAATGTGCTCCAGCATATTCTTTGATGAGCAAAACTTGATGTTCTTACATTTCTTGCAAGGACATCGCATTTTCTTGTTATCCAACCTATCTACATTGGGACTTGACTCACAGTACTCTACAAACTCAACCACGTTGTCCACCCATTCTTGATTAACAACACCTTCTCTCTCATATTTCTTATACATCAACTCACGATTTTCGAATGGACTCATTTTAGAAACGCCTGATAATTGAAAAGCAGCAAACAACAATCATTTAACCAAGAATATCAACCACATTTATAACTAACAACCATGGCAACAATAAAGGCAGATAACAAACGACAATCTTATTAAGCCACAAACAACAATCATTTAACTACAAATATGAACGTATAATGCACTCAATTTCACAAAATTCAACTAAATTTTACCTAAATTCTCAATAAACGCCAAATTCACTCACACAATTTCAACTAAAATTATACCTTAAATGCCATCAATTTCACCAAAAAGTAATGTAATTTTTACCCAATTTTATGTTAATTTCATCTCATATTCACACAATTTCAACTAAATTTCACTAAAAATGCACTCAATTTCACACAAACAAATTCAATTTCATCAAAAATTACAACAACAACAATAATAATAATAATAATAAATTGTATAAAATTAAACAAAAATACCTCTAAGTTCACTGCAAAGAGGAAGAGGAGGTCTGGCGGGGGAAGAGACGGCTGGCAGTGGAGTACTAGCGGCGGCGACGATGGGTGGCGACGGCTTGTGGACGGCGCGGCTGGGAGACGGCGTGGCTGAAGGGTCCGGCGTGGCTGGAGACGACGGCGGGGCTGGCGAGGATGTGCGTCGGCGGCGAGGACGGGCGTCGACGGGTAGCGGAGGGCTGGTGTTCGAAGGACAGGAGAGAGAATTGGGATTAGGGTAGAATGACGGACGAATGGCTGGGAAGAAACCAATCTCGATTTTTAGTAATTCTCTGCGACGGATCTGCGACGGAATTAAACTTCCGTCGCAGATAATCAGGTCAAAATTTGACCAATTTGAATTTGCGACAGGGGGCAATATTCCATCGCAAATCGGCGACGGAAATATGACATCCGTCGCAGATATTGCGTCTTTTTCAAAAATTATTATTCCGTCGCTGATTCGTTGCAGATCTGCTACGGAAATTGGTCCGTAGCAGATATCCGTTGCAAACTAGACAAATTCTTGTAGTGCCACCTGGGCTCAGGTGTCCCGCAGGGAAGGGAGGACAGAAAGCCAACCACGCGAACTAACACACGGTAGACTAGGGAACGTTCCGGACCGGGTTCAGTAGTTGAGGCCATGTTGGAAAGGCTAGAGAGGAAAGTGGAAGAGAAGAACGACAAAGATTAGCAGCAATTGGCGAACTCACCGTTCACCGCGAGGGTCCATCTAACGCCTTTTCCCCGGAAGGCAAATATGGAGATGCCCAAGTTCACGGGCAATGAAGATTCCGAGATACACCTCAACTCCTTCCATCAGAGTGCCACGATGATGGGATGTATCGGCGAGGAAGAATGCCTCCTCTTTTTCTTGTCGCTACGTGGGCGAACGGTTGAATGGTTCAACAAGCTCCCATCAGGCATGATTGACTCTTTTGACGAGCTGGCTGACAAATTTAAAGCCAAGTTCCAAGAGAGTTGTACCAAAAGGAAGAAGTTCATGTACCTTAGCTCTACCGGGCAGAGGGAGTCGGAGAACCTTGTGTGATGCATGACGGTAAGCTAAGGTGCTTACACCCGATGCTAGGTCGCTAGTTGATATGAAATATTACGATGATTATTGTTGATTTGTTGATTATGATGAATGAACCATGATTTAACGATGAATATACCATAATGAAATGCTATTGATAATGATTTCAGTTAAATATTGATTATGATGGTTAAAAGGATGCCATGTGTGATTATGATCATATAATGATAACGATCTTATTCTGAACAAATATCAAAATATTATTATGAATAAATAAACCATAAGAATAAATTGTGACTGAATTTTTTTTATTATCCTGATAAAATGATGGTAGTGAATGATTAAGGCTTCGAAGATAGACCCCTTGTAACCAATTTAGTTAGGCCTTGCGGGTATAATGCCTGGTGGCCAGGGTTAAAACGTACGTACAGAATCCGAAAACCAAACTGGAGTATCTATTTGTTTGGGAGTACCACCCGATCTGACAGTGAGTAGTTCGCTGTTCGGTTTTTGCCTTAAACTGAATACAGTTTAAAAGTCTAGGAATATTTTCCTTAAACTAATTACAGTTTAAGAGTCTGGTTAATATTTGCCTTAGACTAATTATAGTTCAAGAATTTGGTTATTAATTGGCTTAAACTAATTATAGTTTAAGAGTCGGGTTATGAAATAGAATAGCCTTAAACTAGTCATAGTTTAAGAGTCTAGTTATGAAAATATGGATTTGGCCTAAGACTAATAATAGTTTAAGAGTGCTGTTATGATTTGGCCTTAAACTAAGAATATTTTAAGAGCGTTGTTACCATTTGACCTTAGATTAATAATAATTTAAGAGTATTGTTGAAATAATAAATATTGAATATTTGAATTGAATAACATGTATTGATATTAAATGATCTGATATGAACTCAACATTATCAAAATCATGAATAATGAATATTTGAAATAAATATTATGTGCATGATATCAAATGATTTGATTATGAATTGAGATTCAATTTATGTAGATGTTCGATGCATTAGATAATCCTTACTCAGCTTCAACATTGAGCGTGTAGTATGGTTTATTTGCTACACGCAGGTAAATAGAAAGAATGATGTGACATGATCCTGGCGGCAGACAGAGGCGAGATAGTGGTGATGAATGTGATGGTTTTGAATTAAAGGACATAAATTAATTATGTTTTGTGATTGTGGTTTGTTAAGCTTCCGTGATATTGAAAACTCTGTTACCGTTGATGTTATGAATATTATTTATGATAAATAAAAGTGTTTGAAATATTTTAAATTTTACGATTATCATGTTTTTACTTTAATCCAAAAGATGTTGCAAACTTATACGGATTAGGGTGTTACAAGGGTTCTGTTGATAAAATCGGTCATACCCCTGCTGAACCCCCAAGTTCCCTCTGATACCACCATGCACCCCCAAGTTCCCTTTGTAGCCACCTAGTGAAGGAGAAAGGCGAGGGCTAAAGGGAGGGTGGGGGGGGGGGGGGGTAAGAGAATGTTAGTAAGGAATAGAAACTATCAATTTTATCAATAGAACTTCGTAGAAGGCTTAAGTCATCCTATAACATTCAAATCAAATGTCACATAAACAGTCACAATAACTTACCAGTTATTCTTATTAGAATCAGATCAGGTTAGAAACGATTTTAGTATAATTATATTTAGATTAAGAGTAATTTACCTAAATAGGACTAAAACATAATGATTTTCCCAATATATGACCATATGTTTTTATTTCCCAATGTAGGACCTATGATCATTATGAAGTAGTCATTATTCAAGTAAATGTCCATCATTACTGGACATTATTCTTCCCACTAGGTCATTATTAAGTCCTATTTAGGGAAAAAAAATTTAAGTCATACATTAGGAAAATCATTATGTTTTAGTCATATTTAATACAAATTTCACTTAGATTGAATCAAATTTTATTTGAATCAGATCAAAACAATTCTGAATGGAGCACAACATCACGCTGCCCTTCAAACTGTAAAATTGATTTTGCTTACTCGTCCTCAAAATGTCTAATAGACTTTGAGTCTTAGCTTTTACTCTGTATAAAGCAATTCCTTCGCCGGCTCTTCGTTCCCGATTCTCCGTATCTGTTCTGAGCAGCGGATCGTGGAAAATGGCATCCCAAGACCACTTGAACAAGATGCAGCTCCGTCAGAACTATCGCAATTTATGGCACACTGATCTTGTGAACAGCATCAAAGCTGACACTCCTTGTGCGCTTACTCTCTCTCTCTCTCTCTCTCTCTCTCTCTCTCTCTCTCTCTCTCTCTGGCCGCGCCACCGCGCGTGCCTACATTTAGTTGGTTATGCTTAATTAGTTTCCCTGCACTTGTTTAACCGTTTTAGTTTTCGGGCTTTTTTTTTGCAGATTGCTGTTTTGCGTTGTGGTGGTAGGTGAAGTGATCTTATTTATTCCAAATTTAGTACTTGATCTGTCATTCGGCGTTTCAGTGCAAATATTGTGCAGTATGGCTCAGGAAATTGTGCTCAGATGTAGTGTAATTCACCAATTGGACTTGTTACGCTCTATTACTCCGATGACCCAGAGCAGTCCCATCAGAGTAGTGATCCATACCCGCTGTTTTGGCAATTGTGTCCGAGATTAAAAGCAAAATTTTCTGCTGTTAGAGCACTGCTGCCATTTTTATTGATTATATGTGGCTAGTGTTGAGATTTGAGAATTGTTAGTTCCATGAGATTTGAAAAAATCATACTCCCTCCGTCCATGTAAGATGTTCTCAATTTGACTTTTCACGGTTTTTTAGGAGAGTTGAAAAAAGATGAAAGTTTACCAAAATACCCTTAATGAAAATGGGTGGGGTGTATTAAATAAAGTGGGAAAGGTGTAATAAATAAAGTAAGTGGGGGTAGTTGTGGTATTTTAATTATTAAAAAAGGTAATGAGAAGATCTATGTGGGACAAATAAAAAGGGCTAATGGGAAGATCTATGGAGGACGGAGGGAGTATTTGTTAAGAGTTTGACCAAGTAGAACGCGATGGATTTTCAATAAACATCCTGTGACATAGGTCAAGAATAGAATAGCTGTGCGGAAATGTGGGTTGTGATATGTCAAATTAGGCATGAGAGATGTTATGGGTGATTCATTGACTCACACCGGTCAAATGGGGGACTTGGTGATGGGCTTATATAGCCGAGTATTCTCTCACCTTAATAGCTAGCTTTTGTGGTGTAGCTCTTCCTTGTGCTGTCAGAGCTGTGAGACGACGAAGTAGTGGCCTGGGAAACCAGCCGTTTCCAACATGGCCGTGACCAACATAGCTGTGACCAACGAGGACGTTGGTCCTTATGCGGGGTGGAATGTTACGGCTGATTCATTATCCCACACTAGTCAAATGGGGGACTTGGTGATGGGCTTATATAACCAAAAGTTCTCCCACATTAATAGCTAGATTTTGGGGTGTGGCTCTGCCTTGTGCTGTATCAAAAGATCTAAAAGGAACTGATAAGAGTTACTGGAATTTATTAGTTATTTTTCCAGCTGGTATTTTAGAGTTCTAATATTAATTGTAGGTTAGGATTAATAAAGTTGTATTCAAGACAACTTGTAGTAATCAATTCCAAGCATACTTGAGGTTTTTAATACGCTAACTATACAAAATAGAAGACTAGGGCATTATCGGAGTGAACGAGAGGGAAAATAGAAGAAGACATGCAGATGAAAGAGCATGCATACCCGTCGTGTTCCGGAGTCATCCTTGTGCGAAGATCTTGATCAACATCAAGAAGAAAATCTTCAATATATGAAGATTGTGATATCGGATGAAATTGAGGTGAACGGAGAGTTGCCAACCGTGTCTGTCAATGATACCTTAGTGGAAGTGTGATAGCCGTACATGGTATAGATTAGAAATCTTAGATTAGAGGTTTTGTCATAACAATTTGGAGAAGATCATGTTCTTTATGATCGGTGTAACTGATAAGGGTTGTTAGTAGTTGTAAGTTTGTTAATAGTGGTTACAGGGTTTGTTACAAGTTGTTAGTTAGCTGATGTGGCAAAGCATTTTGAGTTGTATAAATACTTAGGGCTATGCTGTAAAAACAGAATAATGATGTAATCAATCTTCTTCTTCTCTCTAAGTATCCTTCCCGGTTCTTCCTCCCCAAAATATCTTCCCTTCTTCCCCAATCTTCTCAAACATTCATAGCAAGTTCAACTTGCTATATCAGTGGTATCAGAGCTGCGACCGACCAGGGATAGCATCCAATCTGACGTCTTCTGGATCGTATCATTGATTAACGGCCATGGAAGCTCAGTTGAAGGTTACTAGTTGAAGGTTACTGAAGGTAGATTCGCTGGTGTCGATGACAGATTTAAAGCCCAGGAACGCAAAATGGATGAACAAATGAACCACCGGAGAAGGAGAAGGAGCCCAGCACCTCTACCAGCGGAGGTGATGGAGGCCATTCATACTCACGAGCACTGAGTTTCAATCCGAAACTAGAGTTCCCTAAATTTGATGGCAGCAACACGCGAATCTGGATTAAGAAGGCATGTAAGTACTTCACCCTTTGTAAGATTCCTGATGAACAATGGGTGGACATTGCTAGTTTACATATGGTGGATAGGGCTGAAAATTGGGTTACTAGCTACATGTCTTTCAGAAAATATGTTGCTTGGCATGAATTCATCATTGATTTGAGTGCCAGATTTAGAGATGAAACAGGGAATAATGTAGTAGAACAATTTAAAAGGCTAGAACAGAAAGGATCACTTGAAGCCTATATTTATGATTTTGAGGATCTGAGGTCTGTGTTGAGTCAGAACAACCATTATCTTCCTGATTCTTTCGTTTTGGATTCTTTTATTGGTAGGTTGAAGCCTTCTGTGAAACTGTTTGTTAAAGCATTTAAGCCTAGTACTATAGCCCAGTCAACTGAATATGCTAGGTTAAAGGAGGAATCATTGGAAGTGGAGGGGTCAAGGTTCTCTAAATTCAGCCACTCTTACAACAACAAACCTTCCGGGGAAAACTCCAAGGTCTTCACAAACAACTCATCAAAACCTGCTCTCTTACCTACTCCCCAAATAAAACCTGCTAGCTTTCCAAAATATGTACCTTCCACCCATTCTGGGCCTAACAAGAACTTTAAATACATACCTGCTGATGTGAGGGCTGAGAAAATAGCCAAGGGACTGTGCTACTACTGTGATCAACCTTTTCACAAGGGGCACAAGTGTAGTTTTAAGGAGCAACAATTGTTTACAGTTGAAATCCTGCTGAGGGAGCTCATCATAGTGAACAGGAGGAGTGCATAGCTGAATATTTGGAGGACCAGTATGATGTAAGTGAGAGGGGAGGAAGAACCGGGAAGGATACTTAGAGAGAAGAAGAAGATTGATTTCATCATTATTCTATTTTTACAGCATAGCCCTACATATTTATACAACTCAAAATGCTTTGCCACATCAGCTAACCAACTAACAACTTGTAACAAACCCTGTAACCACTATTAACAAACTTACAACTACTAACAACCCTGTAACCACTATTCACAATTTCTTGAATTTTGATACTGCAATAAGTTTGGGATGTCAGCTGGAGAAGGTACTCACCCAAGCAGTGACAATGGCGGATGGGAATAAAATCCCTTGTCAATATGCTTGTGATAAGTTTACATGGCAAATGCAGGACAGTGAATTTACCACAGATGTCTTGTTAATTCCATTAGGTAGCTGTGACATGGTTTTGGGAATTCAATGGTTGGAAACATTGGGACCAGTTTATTGGGACTTCAAGGAAATGACCATGAAGTTTGACTTGAAGAATGGTTCATTTTTGCTGAAAGGAATGGTAAATAGGAGATTGAAGGTCGTGGAAGGGGCTCCAGCTCCAAAAGTGTTCAACAATTCTATTCAGTTTTGCCTACTGCAAATCTTTGCTAAGACAGAGAATGATGCTTCCAGTCTCTTACATTGTGCTGAAAGTAGAGAGCAGACTGTTTTAGATAATGAACTGGAAAAATTAAAGAAAGACTTTAGTATGCTCTTTGAAGATCCTACAGAGTTGCCACCTCATAGAGGGACCTTTGATCACAGGATTCCCTTGGAACCAGGAGCAAGGCCTGTCAATATCAGACCTTACAGGTATCCCTTGAAACAAAGGGTTGGTACAAGAGATGCTGGACAGAGGGATTGTTCAGCATAGTGCTAGCCCTTTTGCTTCACCTGTGGTCTTAGTGGGGAAGAAAGATGGAACATGGAGGCTGTGTATAGATTATAGAGAGTTAAACAGCAAAACAATAAAGAATAGATTTCCTATTCCTATAGTGGAAGAGCTGATAGATGAACTAGCTGGGGCAGCAGTGTTTACTAAATTGGACTTAAGGGCAGGATACCATCAGTTAAGAATCCATCCACCAGATATTTACAAGACAGCCTTTAAGACTCAACACAGGGCATTTTGAGTTTTCAGTAATACCTTTTGGCCTTACTAATGCACCAGCTTCATTTCAAGGATGGATGAATGAAGTATTCAAACCCCTATTAAGGAAATCAGTCCTAGTCTTCTTTGATGACATACTTGTCTATAGTACAACCATGGAAGAGCATTGGGGTCATTTAAGACAAGTCTTTGAACTGATGAAGGAGAACAAGATGTATGCCAAACTCAGCAAATGTATCTTTGCAAGTGACAAGGTGGAATATTTGGGCCATTTCATTTTTGCAAAGGGGGTTGAAACAGATCCAAGTAAAATCAATGTCATTTCGAGTTGGCCAGTTCCTGCCACAGCTAAAGAACTCAGAAGTTTCTTGGGACTTGCAGATTACTACAGGCGATTTATCAGAGGGTATGCCACACTCAGCAAACCTCTCACAAGGTGCTCAACAAGCCTTTGTATCCCTAAAATTGGCTTTGACTTCAGCCCCTGTATTGGCAGTACCTGATTTCACTCTAGTCTTTGAGATTGAAACTGATGCTTCTAAGGAAGGAATTGGGGCAGTCCTTATGCAGAATAAACACCCTTTGGCCTTCATTAGTAGATCACTTGGACCCAAATGGCAGAAGTTACCAGTGTACGAGAAGGAGTTGTTGGCCATTGTCTTTGCAGTCCAAAAATGGGAGCAGTACTTAATGGGTAACCATTTCATCATTAAGACTGATCAGAAGAGTTTAAAGTGGCTTTTACAGCAAAAGGTATCCACGCCCTTTCAACAGTTTTGGCTCTCTAAACTATTGGGATTTGACTATGAAATTGTCTATAAAAGTGGAACTGAAAATGTGGCTGCTGATGCACTATCTAGGGTACAGGGATCAGAACTCCTACTAATGGCTATCTCTGTGGTATCTTCTGATTTGGGAAAACAAATCCAAGCCATTTATTCCCTTGATCCAAATCTCAAAAATATAATCAAATCTCTTTAAACTTCTCAACCTGTGAAGCATTTTTCATTCCAGGAAGGATACTTGAGGAAAAAAAGGAAGTTAGTCATAGGCCCTAGTGATCAGTTAAAGGGAGATATCATTAAATGGCACCATTGCAGCCCAGAAAGAGGTCACTCTGGAAGGGAAGGCACTCTGAGGAGGGTTAAGGCTTTGTTCTATTGGAGGGGGATGACCAAAACAGTTAGTTACTTTGTGAGGAACTGTTTAGAATGTCAATCTTCAAAATATGAAACTCTTGCAAGCCCAGGACTGCTCCATCCATTACCCATTCCTGAGGGAGTTTGGCTGGACATCTCAATGGATTTCATCTCTGGTCTTCCTAAATCTATGGGCAAAGAAGTGATCTTTGTTGTAGTGGACAGATTGAGCAAATCTGCTCATTTCATAGCCTTGAAGCACCCCTTCACAGCATTAGAAGTAGCCCAAGCCTACTTGGATAATATCTTCAAACTCCATGGGTGGCCTAGAAGTATTGTGAGTGATAGAGATGCCATATTCATGAGCCAATTTTGGCAGGGGCTCTTTTCTTTGCAGGGCACTGAGCTTCACCTATTGTCTGCTTACCACCCACAAACGGATGGGCAAACTGAGGTCGTCAATAGATGCCTTGAAATGTACCTCAGATGCTTGTGTGGGGAGGAACCTGAGGATTGGTGTATGTGGCTTCCATTGGCAGAGTGGTGGTATAATACACACTACCACACAGCTACTCAATTGACCCCTTATGAAGTGGTCTATGGACAGCCTCCTCCAGTGTATTTGACTATTTGCCTTACCTACCTGGGGAATCCAAGGTGGATTTAGTGGACAGGAGTATGCAGCGCAGGCAACAAGTACTTACCCAGCATAAGGCCAACTTACTCAAAGCCCAACACAGAATGAAGAACCAGGCTGACAAGCATAGGACAGAAAGGAGTTTTGCAGTTGGAGACTGGGTGTGGTTAAAGTTGCAGTCCTATAGACAACAATCTGTCCAACAAAGGAGCAACAATAAGCTATCTCCTAAATACTTTGGGCCATTTCAGATTGAAACCAAAGTGGGACAGGTGGCTTATAAGCTCAAGCTTCCAGACACTTCTAAGATACATAGTGTCTTTCATGTCTCTCAGTTGAAGCCATTTAGAGGAACTCTACCTGTAGCAATCCATATTCCTGGCTGGTTTCAAGGTAAACTTGCAGGTGAACGTCCCATTCCTCTGGCTATCCTAGACAGGCAGCTGAAGAAGGTCCAGAACAAGGCACAAGTATACTACTTGGTTCAATGGGAAGGCTATAGCAGACTAGAAGCTACATGGGAACCAGCTGAAGACTTTATGGCTAAGTACCCTGATTTTCCACTCAATGTGCAGACTTGAGGTCAAGTCTTTTTGAAGAGGAGAGCAATGATAAGGGTTGTTAGTAGTTGTAAGTTTGTTAATAGTGGTTACAGGGTTTGTTACAAGTTGTTAGTTGGTTAGCTGATGTGGCAAAGCATTTTGAGTTGTATAAATACGTAGGGCTATGCTGTAAAAACAAATAATGATGAAATCAATCTTCTTCTTCTCTCTAAGTATCCTTCCCTGTTCTTCCTCCCCAAAATATCGTCCCTTCTTCCCCAATCTTCTCAGACATTCATAGCAAGTTGAACTTGCTATATCAGTAACCTGCACCTATTGATTTAGTGGAGGGCTATTACACGAATGTAGGCCCCTGCAAATTAGTAGAATTTCTCCAAATTGTGTAAACATACCAGATGTCATTACTTTAGACTTTTTTCTTTCTGCATTTTGCTATAGGTTGTTACAGCAGATGCTATAACACCACTTGAGTAATCTTTTCCTGTGTGCTTATTTTCAAAGTTCAAATTTGATTTTAAATTAGGACACCTCTCTTGGATATTTCAAGAACCTGTGGATGCTAGACTATATTGATGTTTGCTTATGTTTCTTGTACTTGAATACTGAATGTCATCAAATATAGACTTTTTTAATTTGATAAACGGATAGCATGCCATTTTAGAGAAGAGCAATGCTTCAATGTTGATATGTCAGTTAATTCATGACTCTTTGGGTATGGTTGTTATGACTAACACCCCAAGTGGCATCTATGTTTGTACACATAGGTTTTATGTATGTGCCACAGCCGCCACAAGCTACTTTATTTTTCTTCCTCTTTTTTCCTTCTGAAAACTGTCAATATACTGGAAAAACACTGTTCATTAATATATATCATTTCAAAATTTGTAAGTACCCCTGTGTGCATGGATATTATTATGATTGCAGTGGACCTTGTGTATCATATTTGCTTCGAAAACGTGCTCTTTACAATGATATGACAAGGTAATTAATGTTTTATTGCACTTTACTAAAAACTACATCAAACTTTTGGCACACCTTGTATTACTAATGTTTGGCTGTGTCAGGTATACATGCTGTGCTGGCTATATGCCCTGCAGTGGCCGATGTGGAGAGAGCCGATGTCCTGAAGTGTGCCTTGCTACTGAGGTGAGTTCTACTAAGCTGATCATTCATCTCATAACTTGTATTTCATTTTCATGGCATTTAATGGCATATTCAATTAGATTATATGCTGCTATGCTGCATATTCCTTGCTCTCTCTCTCTCTCTCTCTCTCTCTCTTATTAAAGTACTAAATGAGTTGAAATTGTATAAGAATATATATGTTTGATGAAAGAATCGGTCCAGAGGTGTAATATTCTTGTTGTTACTTGAATAGATTGCTTATTGTTTTTCTCCTTTTGCACCCGTAGTCTACATGCTACATTTAATTTTACTGCCAATGTTAGAAATATATTCTCCGCAGGCCATTTCCATGATATCATGTTTCTTTTACCTAAAGTCCTAAAGTCTGGGTCTTGTATTTCAAATGAGTGAAGTCGTTTTGTAAATAATGTCCTAGATTTTGACCTATATTTCTGTTTGTAGTCAATAATGGCCTAAGAACTCATCAAATCTAACGCGATAAAAACCTTTTCTTTCAAATTTTTGTAACTTGGGTATCATGTTTTAGGCAATATTTTACTTCTATAAACCATGATGATTCCCATTTTTTCAATGCATTAATCTTTTTCATGATGTGCTTGTTACTCAATGGAGTGCATCTTTTACATGTTCAGGTTTTTCTTTGCTTTGGAAATTCAGTGGCTTCAACACGATTTTTGCTGCAAGATGAGTTCAACATACAAACAACAAAGTGTGATAATTGCATTATTGTACTTTCTCTCCCCCTCTCCACGCTTGAAGTCTAACAACCAATACCTATGCATTTCTTTTATCATTTTTAGCTACCTTTCTATTTTTCATGTTATTCTGTTCTGATAATTAGTACTTCGTGTAGGGCTTCATGTTCTGTCTCCAACAGCTTGCTTGCATTTTCTCTATAGTCGCAATGATTGTTGGAAGTGATGAGATTCAGGAGGCTTCCCAGTTACTATCTTGCTTGTCTGATATGGTCTACTGCTCGTAAGTTTCTTTTTTCTCTCCATTTCATTAAATTTATGTAACTTGTTTCATGTAGTAACAAATTCAATAACTTTACTTCAATTATTTTTTTGTGCAGGGTTTGTGCCTGTATGCAGGTAAACTATGATTTACTCTCGCCCCTGCTTGATTTTAGTTTTAAATGCTTCTAATATATCTATACTATCAAGGAACTTGGGACTTCTGAATAGTTGTATATAGCTGTATTTGCACATGTTAAATGATTCACATGTTGATTTTAAAATATCAAAATTGTAAAGGAAAATGACAATAACAAATATCTCAACCTATGGCCATGTCATCATCATTTCCATACGTGTTGAAACATTCTATGATGTGACAGGTATATAATTTTCATCCATTATTCCTTCTTGATACAGATGATGAGTTTAGTTTAAGTGTAGTTAAATTTACCACAAAATGAAAAAACCTATGCTTCCTGATTTTGCTATCAGTTTCATACAGACTTACTTACGCCCGTGGGAATAGGTTTGTTAAAAAAAGGTTTGCTCTGGTTACCCCAGCACTGCCAGGTTATGTTTGTATAAATGAGTTCATAGGAAAAATTTCTCTATCGAATTATATGCTTTTGTTTGAAACATGCAAAATTTGCAGAGAGAAATAGATTTGGAAGAAAAATAAGCAGTGAGTTCAAACGCAATAATGTGATTGTGTATATAAGTTCAAATTCCCTTTACATATTTCTATCTTATAATGATTAAGGAAGGAATGAATGTGTCTAACTTTTTTTTGTTTTGTTAAATGGAGTATCAAATTTAATCATCTCTCATTCATATTTTGAAGGTAATTCCAAACATAAGAAACCTAAGCTACATTATCCATACAATGTTCGTTGGGATTTGAATCATTGCCTGACGTTTAGGAAATAACAATTTGTTAGATGACATAGATATGAACTTATATAGCATTGATGACTGAATGCTGCAGACACAGCACAAGATTGAGATGGACAAGAGAGATGGTATGTTTGGTCCTGGACCGATGGCAGTTCCTCCGGTTCAGCAAATGACACGGTTTGATCAGCCAATGCCCCCACCCGCTGTTGGATATCCTCCTCCACCATATCCATATGCCCAGCACCCATATCCTCCTCCTCAACCCCAAGGTTATCCTCCAGCTGCATATCCAAAGTGATATATATATATATATATATATATATATATATATATATATATATATATATATATATATATATAGGTCATCTGAGTCAATCTTGTGCCTTATTATATCTTTGCTACCGACCAGGACTTGCTCAGTTTATTTGGCTTATGCATCTTTTAACAATTTACTTATCAAAATTGAGCTGGGTGTATATCTATAAATATAGACCTTTATTCCTATGATATGAAATTGAATTGGGTCATGTGTGCTGAGTTGTTCTCTGTAGATTCTTGTGTGTGACATTAAAGGTTGTATGTTTGATTTTATTTCAAATATTGTCCTGAAATGCCATTGGTTGGCTTCGACATCAAATGCTTGCGTTTTATTCGCGGTCAATCAATAGTCAATAGCATTTACGCACAATGACATTTTTGTAAAGCTTTTTGTTATGTTTTTGTTTTCATAAAAGTTAGTACTATTTTAATTATTAGTTATTTAATATTCTGTAAATTTAATCTAATTAGGTTCATTTAAAGACATAGTTTGATATATCAAATATTTATTTATTTAAAATTATACACACTCTAATTTGCACATAAAAAATTATACATGTTCAATCCGTAAAAGATCTTTCTTCTTTAAGTTTTTAGTCAAATCTTTATAAACTTTGACTACACAAATTGTTAAAAAAGAAAGTACTTCATATTTATTATATTGTAAATTGAAAATAATTGAAGTCATCGTCATGGGAAAGATCGCTCTCGGTCTCACTATGTAAGAGCAAGTCATGCTGCTTTGGCCAACACTTTACCCTTTTCCGATTGAACCATAACAAATTTGGTGCTTGTTTGATTTTTTTTCAAAAGAAATTGCCCATACTTTTTAGTAGCTCTCATATCCATTAGTGTACTATTTGTTCAATCTTATAATCTTAATTTTTAAGCATACAAGTGAAACTCGAAGACTAGATGTGAAAAAAGTTGAGATGACTTTCTTACAACTCCACCCATTTACTTCCACGAGGAAAAATAGCCATATACGTAATATATATATATATATATATATATATATATATGTATGTATGTATGTATGTATGTATGTATGTATGTATGTATGTATGTATGTATGTATGTATGTATGTATGTATGTATGTAGTATGTATGTATGTATGTATGTTTGTATGTATGTATGTATATGTATGTATGTGTGTATATATATATATATATATATATATATATATATATATATATATATATATATATATAGGGATTGACTCCAGTGAGACCTTACGGTGAGATGACATGCTTCGGTGAGATGACGCAAAGCTCACCACATTACACTGCAAAGCTCACCAATGATCAATGTAAAGCTCACCTTCACTATTTTGAACACCAAAACTCACCTCTTTTTTAATTTTGAAAATTAAAAAAATAATAAAAAATAAAATAGCAACACCGGTCAACCACCGGTCAGTGGCGGCGGCGCGGCGGTGGTCGGCGGCGGCGGTGGTGGTCGGCGGTGGCGGTGGTCGCCGGCGGCGGCGGCCGGCAGCTGCAGGGGTTCGCTGGTGATGATCAACGGTCAATGGTCAAAGTCTAGTCAGCACTCCTTCCTTTGATTTTTTTTTTCAAAAAAAATTCAAAGTGTTGAAAAAATATGGTGAGTTTTGCCTTACAGTTTGGTGAGCTTTGTAATTGTCTTTGGTGACAACGGTCAATGGTCAAAGTCTAGTCAGCACTCCTTCCTTTGATTTTTTTTTTTCAAAAAAAATTCAAAGTGTTGAAAAAATATGGTGAGTTTTGTCTTACAGTTTGGTGAGCTTTGTAATTGTCCTTGGTGAGCTTTGCAGTGGCCAGTGGTGAGCTTTGCGTTATCTGACCGTAGCATGTCATCTCACCGTAAGGTGTCATCTGACTGAAGTCAATCCCATATATATATATATATATATATATACTCCCTCCGTCCATAAATAAACTTCCCACTTTCCTTTTTCGTCCGTCCACAAATAAACTTCCCATTTCCTTTTTTGGAAACTTTTTTCATGTGAAAAGACTTAATTGCCCCCACCCTCCACTCTCTTTCTTTTCTTTTTTTCTTTCTTCCTCGCCACATCTCACCCAGAGGCGGACCCACCTTGAGTCCCATGGGGTCCCGGGACCCCACGGACCCCGGGATATGTCCATATAGGTATTAGGTATATATAGATATTAATATATAAACAAAGCTTGTCAAGTATTGAATGAAAGCGCCTTTAGTTCAGCGGAATACTTCACCGATGCGCCCAATCCTTGAGTCCCATGGGGTCCCGGGACCCCACGGACCCCGGGTAGGTCCATATAGGTATTAGGTATATATAGATATTAATATATAAACAAAGCTTGTCTAGTATTGAATTAAAGCGCCTTTAGTTCAGCGGAATACTTCACCGATGCGCCCAATCCTTGCTCTCCTCGGGCGCAGGTTCGACTCCCAACCCAGTGGATTTTGTGCAGTCCATTTTTTCCTTTTTTTGGAGTCAATTTTTTCGTAATTAGCGGAAAAACGACGTCGTTTTCCCTCCCCCTTTTCTATGTAAATTTCTCCTTTCTTCTCCAGTTCCCCAATTCTTTTTTTTAAACTTCTAATTTTGATTTTGGAACCCTAACTCCCTAATTTCTGTGAGACCTTGCGACCGCCGACCAACCGCCGCCCTCCAGGCCGCCAGCGACGGGCAACTTGCGTCATCTTCTTCCCAATCGGTAGCACTTCCGGCAGTCACTCTCCGGACTCCGTCACTTCCGTCAATGACTCAACGGTAAAATTAATTTTTTTACTAAAATTAATTTCTATATTTTACTAAAATTAATTTTTTATTTTTTATGGTAGTTTGAACTTTGAAGTTTGATATATGAATGTATGCTTAGTATGTAGTAATATATAATAATTTATACATTAAAGAATCAAAGATTTTTCTTCAATAAAAAATTAATTTAGGATTGCAAGTGATAAATATTATTGAATTAATGTTCATTTTATGTCTAATTTACAGAATTTAAATTGCAAAAGTACATCAAAAAGTTAGCCAAATTCAAATATTCGGAGTCGAGTGGAATTGGTAACAATGTTTGATATATGAATGTATGCTTAGTATGTAGTAATATATAATAATTTATACATTAAAGAATCAAAGATTTTTCTTCAATAAAAAATTAATTTAGGATTGCAAGTGATAAGTATTATTGAATTAATGTTCATTTTATGTCTAATTTACAGAATTTAAATTGCAAAAGTACATCAAAAAGTTAGCCAAATTCAAATATTCGGAGTCGAGTGGAATTGGTAACAATGTTAGTGCTCCGGTGTCTCAAGTAAATACTCCATCTTTAGTTATTCAAAAAAGTACTCAATCCACTCCTATTTAATTTATTGTTAAATCTTACTTATGAAGTAGTTTGACATGAGAATGTGAGGTAGCTAGGTAGGGGACCCCATGACCGTAAAATCCTGGATCCGCCTCTGATCTCACCCATCCCTTCTTCTCTGTTTCTCTTTTTTTTTCTTTTTTCCTCTCCCTTCTGAAATCACCCACAAGCTGCCGCCACAGCCACACATCCATTTTTTCTCTCTTCTTTCTTTCTTTTCTTCTCTTCTTCATTCTTTTCCTTTCTTCTTCTTCTTCTTCTTCTTCTTCTTCTTCTTCTTCTTCTTCTCTCTTCTTCGTTCTTTTCCTTTCTTCTTCTTCTTCTCTCTTCTTCTTTAATTCCTTTTCCTCCCTGTTTTGACTTTGTTCCGTCACCCAATGATTGGAAGCAGCGACAGAGAGAGGTGGGCAAGAAGAACCAGAGATGGAAGAGCAGATCTATGAAATCCCATGGTACATACGTGAACCAGAGAGAGGCGGGCAAGAAGAACCATGGTTAGATCTGCTCCTTTTTCGACATAGTCGCCATCGATTTCATAGATCTATAAAGCTTTTGTTACTCCTAGCCTTGCCTCAAGCCGTCAAAACCTCGGATGGAAGAGATTAGATCTACGAGGGAGGGGGTTACGGAAGGGATGGCGGCAAGAAGAACAATAGGAGTCATCCGATGGTGCTAGAGAGTCGGCGGCGGCGGTGGTAGAGAATCGCCGGCGGTGGTCGAGAATTGCCGGCTATGGTGTTGGCAATCAGAGATTGCGTATGGGTAGATTGGAAGATGGAAGGTTGCAGGGGTAAAATAGGAAAGTCAAAGCAAATTTTATCACACATTAATATGCGTGCCCGGTCAAACCGGGAAGTTCTTTT